CTCATTAATACCATCTGTTTAGTGGCTTTTGTCAAAGAACATTAATAGTTCCTATGCAGACTTCATGTATATTGATTGGAACGAGTTACTAAGTTTTGTTTTGTATATGATTTGAGTTATTAAATAGCTTAGATTATCTATGTAGGTAAGATTTTCATTCAAAGCATGCCTTTTGTCAGGTGACCATTTGACACGTGCTATTAGGCTTCTGTTTGCTTACTGCTAAGTGTAAGTGCAGAGCTGGGTGAAAGATTTTAGAAGATGCTCTGTTTACAATGTGTCAGAAGAGAAAAAGGTTCTTTGCCTTTATTGACACAAGGTTACGTTCTTTATGCCAGGATAACTGCAGTATTTGTCTTACTGAGCATCTGTAATAGAGACAAGGCTGTGCTGCAGCAGTGACAGGAAGGACGAGGCTGTGCCTTCAGCCTGACTTGGGCAGTGCTCAGTACATGGGAGCAGAATGGTGCCCTGTCTTCTGCAGGGAACAGTGGTCGGTGTGCTTGATCTGTCCTGCTGTCCGAGCGTGTTTTCATCTGACAAAGGAAATGGGGCAATGAGCAGAATTAGAGAATGATACCAAAAAATTTGTTCATACAGCCTTTGTCTGAGACTTTATTTAGAATGACTTTATAGAATTTCTTTGTTCTTTGGGAGTATGATTTTTACATTAACAAGGACTGCTGGCATGATAAGGAATGGAGGGTATTTTCACCTAGATTTTTGTTATACTTGCTAACAAAACACGAACCTATTGCTGGTTCACCCACGGAAAATGAATAAATATAGCGATGTTAAGATTTTGAAAGTGTGAGAAAGAAGCGGGAGAGAGCAGGAAGGGACAGGAAAGAAATAACATGCACTTGTACATGGTTTGTAATATCTGTTTGCATTAAACTGTTGTTTTTCCCTGGTGTCTGTCTGTCACTCCCGTCGCTTTCCTGAAGCGAGCCGTTGCCTGCAGAAGCAAGGGATGTGGTTCATACTGACTTCAGGAGGAGAGAGGTTGGAATTACATGATCTTTGAGGTCCCTTCCAACCCAAACCATGCTAAGACTCGAGGATAGGGATCTGAGACCTCATGGAAGTTGAATTCGTGTGGTTAGATGGAGGAGAGTGTATCACTGGAGAACGCACACTAACTACAAGCTCTTTTGAGATGGGATTTCCAGATTGTTCCCAAGGAAATTTAGTGTCCAAATCTCTTTAAAATACAACTGGAGATCTCCTGGTCTTTTCCTAGAGACTTAGTTTAGGAAAAGCTCGTTGTGGTCAATGACCTTGAATGTTCCTGGGCCCTCTCAGTGGCAGTCTTGATATGGAAGAACTTTGAAGGCACAGAAGCCACTCCTGCATCATTGCTCCCATGTGATGTGTGACAGCAGAACTTCGTGCTATGGGAGAATAGGGAGCAGTACAGTAACTGCTAACGACATCATTTTCCACAAAACCAATTTTAATTTGCCATTTAGAGACTTGCAAACAGCCTTAGATAGCTCTTGCAATTGAAGACGATCATTGGCAGTGCTATTTAGCAACGCACTTAAACATCTGCACCTTCATCAGTGTTCCCCGAGATGCTCAGGCCAGTGTTGGGAAGTTGCTGTGTTGGCCGTTGTGCAGCTGTGCACACAGCAGAGGACAGCCCTGGGGCTCGGCGCTGTGCAGGAGGTGCCCTGCTGGTGCTGGGAGCCCCTCCTGGAGCAATTGGTGCTTGGGCTGCAGCCCCTGCTCAGCTCAGCTTCCCACAACAGCTGGCAGAAGTTTGCGGAGCTGATGATACGAGCAAAGCCGCTGAGATTGTACTGCCAGGCCTAAATTTATTCATACCCTTTCCTACAAAGCCTTTTGTTTTTACTATTATTGAGACCTCTTCAAATGGGATTTCAAGTATACAAGCGTAATTTAATAGCTGAAACCAGGAATACCAGTTATGAGCTTGTGTTTGTGTTGCAGAGCAATGAGTTGACCTGCACCATTGGGTTCCGCACGGCCTGTAAGCGTGCAGTGTGGACTTTGTGGCTTTCCACATCCAAGAACCTTCTTTGGCTCTGGACGTGGTTGACAATTCAGTTATTGCTCTTCTTTCTCTGCCCTCATCTTTTCTTATGTATTACTTCTTGCTTGGAATGAAGTCCAGCAGAAAAGGCTGCAGGGGGAAAAGCTGCTGTTAAAAAATCTGCTGGGAATTTTTCCTCCAGGTGTGTGGTTGTGAGCAGAAATCTGGCACTGCAGCTGCCAAAAATGCAGACTTGTTTAGACTTCTGAAAATCAGTAATGCTACACTGAAGGTGGTAGGATTTAAATCCCATTCTCACCATTCCCTCAACTGAAATGAGGATTATGGTTTCAAATGATCTTTGTAAAAATCCATGTTACAGAATTCCACAGAAATTGTCTCAGAGCTGTCCAGGATTTCAGACAAGTTAACGCTTCCTGAAGCTCTCCATTAGGATCTGCTTTACCTTTTCCAGAGCTGAGGCAACACTGAAGTTAATGAGATGTAAGCTTGTAACTCATTCAGTTCCTTATGAAAATTCTACTTAATGATCAGCTGTCTTTTCCATTGTGTTTATTTCTTGTATTTCAAAACCTGTTATGATTCAGCATTCCTTTGGTCTATGTGACATAAATATACAGTAGTACAAATTTTTATGGTAAGTCACCTGTACTGGAAAGAAAAATAAGTCTGTCGTTGCTTTTATACCAGTAGAAAAAGTAACAGAGGAGATCTCATAATGCGTTCAAAAATAAGGAAAAAGATGTGAAACAGAGACATGGGAAGACATAGAGCTTTTTTGCTAAGGGGAAAGTTGTCTTCACTTGCAGTAATGTGGAGGCAGAGGGGCAGCACTGAAATGTTGCATGATACAAGTTGAGCCACAAGCTGCATCCTGCTGCCAGCCAGCTGCTGCTGTGGTCCTCAAAGGAAAACAGCTGAAAGGAAAACAGGCTAAGAAGGAGGTGAAGGGAGAAGCGTTGGTAGAGAAAGCAGGGATCTGCAAAGTTAAACACAAATTCCAAGTCCTTTGGTGATTCTCATGAGATCCTGAGATTCGCAGGGCTCTGCAGGGTTTGCCCGAGTGGCAGAAGGCAGGAGGAGGCAGGCAGGTGCTGCAGGGATGCGCTGGGGATGGGTGGATGGAAGTTCCCCGGTGTAAATATCTCTGTAGTTGGAAACAGAGGTAAAAGATGTTATCTGGTAGCAGGACTCTCCCATGGGATGCAACAGTGGTATTTAAACTCAGGCTGCATGCAACATTTGCTTTCTCCCATGGAGGCACTCAGAGTTGTCATGAAGAATTGCAGGCCTAGCACGTCCACCTTGCCTTGGGTGCTGGGATGTCTGTGCAGTGTGCTGAGAAGGCAGGTCCTGCAGCAGGAATACACGGCTGTGACACCTGTGTGCTGTAATCCAAGTTCATGTCCAGCGTGAGCGTGGGTCCACGGGTGAGAAGATCCCTTCTTGATGCAAGAGGATGTTACAGTTTGGGTGAGGAAGCGCAAAGTGGATGTAGCTAGAGTACTGAATACCACACTTGAATAAGTGACTTGCTCTTCAGGGCACAAGGATAGTTTATTATTGGGAAATCAGGTGGAAGTAACACTGCAGACGTTTAGTTGGGTATGAGATATCTACTCTTACACAGCATTTCTGAACAGCTAGCCGAGTGAAAGACAACCGTGGTTCTTCCCATGCTGCTTTATAGCAGCCAGGCTCCATCTCTGGTTCTGAGCAAAGCGGGGGTGTTTTTGTCTCCAGTGAATGGTAGATGCAAATATATTTTGAAGGCAATTAGGCAAAGAGAATATTTTTATTTTTTGCTTACAACAAACTGCAAGCACAGAATTGCTAGGACAAGGCTGAAGGTTATTTGCTAAGATTATATGCCACATGTCATTAATCTCTTACCCACTGTTGGTTTGTTTTTTTTTTTCCTTTTATTAGCAGAATTTTAAATTTCCAGGAGAACTGTACAGAGCTCTAAGGGCACAGATTACAAGGCTGAAAATACATGTCACTGGTGGCTGTATGTGCAGAATGTGCGGCACTCACAGGGTGTTGTGGCTGTTGAGCTGTTGTCAGGGAACCTGCATCTCTCTGCCAGAGCCCCAGCAACATCAGCTGCCCTGAAATACTACAGATCAGCACATCCAGAAGTGTATGACTGTCATAAGGCCATTTTCTCTCGCTGTTCTTTAACAGCATTGCACTATAATGATAACAAATGACATAAAACTGCCAAATAGGTCTGCAGGGAAGAGCAGGCACATAATTTCCCCAGCGGCAAGGAACACATCAGACATTGCTTCCCTTCCCATACACCGACCCCGTCGGACAGGAGGCTCAGGTGAAAGCTTGTTGTGACCAAGTGTTTGTGGCACAGCTGCACGAGTGCTGCAGGAAGGTGGGGGAGGCAGGGTCTGCTCTGCAGCATCTGATACCTGCTCAATAATTGCTTTCTCAAGACAATTTTATGATGTTGTGCAAGTTGGAAGCTGTCATTTTGCTGTCAACCTTGTCCTCCCTATGTCCTTTTCTCTGGAAAAAGTACAGTGAATCTTCAGTGCAAAAGATATCTCAGTTTTAATTCGTTATCATTGTTATAATGGTAGAGGCAGTTTTATGGTTAGGATAGCATATACACAAGGTGGTAATTATTGCTCTTAAGCTTTTCTGGAGGAGAAGGCAAGGGGAGATTTTGCATGAACATAAAATACGGGAGAAGGTGACACGTGAATGCTGGCAGCATGCTGCTTCTCCATGATCAAAGGCCACTTGCCTAATCCCAACACGTAACTATCATGTGATTAAAAACGTGAGATCTCATGACCGTATAAAAAAATTGTGTGTAGCAGAAGTACTTGATTTAAATGCATAATTAATAGCTTCACTCAGCTTTGCATCAAAATGCAAATTGACAAGGCATGTATCTGAGAGACTGAGGGTTCTGCACCAAAACACACCTATAAAACTACACTGACTTTTTCACTTGCAGACCGTTGGCTGAAGGGAAGAGAGAAGTTGGAAGCTGTCTGTCTGCAATTTTGGGTGAGTGCTGATTTTTTTTTTCTCGCTTAGATAAATCAGTGAGTTAACAAAAAAAAACAAACAACCAACCAAACAAAAACAAAACTTCAACCCCAAAATCCAGGCACATCCATTGTTGTAACAATTAACTTTTACTCACTAAGAACATTTGGCATGTAAAAACATTTAAAAGGTTGCACATCGACAAGTGGTCGGAACGCGTAGAAAACTCTGTGCTTGCTCGTTAGGGATCCGGTGTAACTGCAACCACAGGCTCCACCAGAACCCCCTGCTGTGCCTGTGTGCAGTCCTGCTGAGAACTCCAGTGGATTCAGAAAAGACGACGTACAAAGCTTCTGTAGGTTCAACTGTCCCTTAAGTGTTGATGTGCCCAGTGCGCACACACACACCAGTGCTTGCTCAGGCCTTCCACTTGAACAGACCAATCCAGTGAAATGCTCAGAGTCCTTGTTGACCTTAAGCCTGGTGAAACTACGGTTCCATATCGGACCCGAACTTGTTACTGTTAGGTTGGGTTTAGCTGTCTCACTTTCTGCTGTTGAGGGCACATCAATCCCATGCACATTTTTTTCAAACGTAATGCCAGGATTTGGTTGTTTTCTTTCAGTTTGGGAGCACTGAGTTGGTTTTTGTCCTAACTGATCATAATGACAGCTAAATGTCAGCTTCATTTCCGTCTCAGCTCCGAACATAAACAGAAAAGTATACAAAAAGGAAAAGTTTTTATACGCTGAATTATTTTTTTTTGCTGTGTACCTCATGCCAAACAGTTTTGATTCTGCATGTGACTTACAGTCTAAATGCCAGACCTAGTTTTCCAATTATTTTCAGTATTTTGCATCCAGTGCAGAGAAAACGCTATTAAAATAAATGCATTAAAAAAACAACAACAAAAATACAACCCTGCAACTTAGCTGAAATGTAATCCCATCGAGAAAAAAACACAATATTTTTCTATGACATTTTGGGTATATTTTATGTCAAAACATGATCACCAGTCCAACTAGTGACATCTAAAACCAATACATTATTGTGACTTCTAAAATAAAAAAAAAATCAGAACACAACTAAAGTTATTATAGCTCTGCCTTTGTTGAACACCAGGGGCGGTGGCTTAAGCACAACAAAACTCCAGTGTTTTTCAAAGGTGTCTACTGAAGAGAATAAAAAGAACAATTAACATTTAGTCTGTTACACTAAAAACCCGGGTGTACATAATTCTATTGCCTGTTAGCTTTACCTAAGCCTTTTCAACTACTACGAAAAGAAAAAAGATAACTCATTGTCCAAAGTCAAAAACATTCAAATCAGTTGATGCAACATTACAGTACAGTCAACTAACATCCTTCAGGGTCTCCTTTTCCTCAGTTTGAGTCCTCAGACCAGCATTACAAAACTAGTTCAATGCAGTTTCAAAACTGTATGTTAGCTTTGCAAGATACTGTACTCTACTGATGGCTTCAGAAGAATGGGGTCGTGCTACTTTTGAATCACAGGTAACCCCAGCCTCTCATTAATTTTATTCAGCACTGCAGTTAGAACAGCATTAAGTTTAGCACAATAACTAAAAAAAGAAAAAAAGGAAAAAAAAGAAAAGAAATCTGGAAGCTAGGTGAAGCTGCCATTTGTGTCAAACAATTGCGATACGCTATACTAAAAAATTCTGAAATATCCACCTGTCCTCACCACTCTGCCACAAACTAGCAAAGTCAAAAATACAAAAGTCTTCAACTTCTCATTTTTGCAGAATAAAGCAAAAAAGTCTTTGTGCTCCTTACTACCAGAAGCAAAATATCCTCTGAGTTACCACATGTAATAGCTTCTGGATGTGTCGACTTGGGTCGGCTTGGTCTCTGCAGAACCATCCTTGTCCTTATCGCTGTCGCCTTCCCAGAGATTAATAAGTGGAGGATAGAGCTCGTTCAGGGGGATTGAGGAGGTCTTTTGCATATATTTTTTCAACGAATGGTGGTAGTTTTTTCTCTTAAATCTTTTTGCAATGTAAACAGAAATGGAGGCAAGGCTAATTACAGCAAACATGGATCCCATGACCGCTGCCAGAGCAGTGCTGGTTTCCTGGTCTGAAATATCAAGCGCAAAAGCTGCATTTTTTGTTGTAACGTTAACACAGGACTTTTGTGTTTGTTGGTGGATGTTGGACACAGTGAGACACACTTCATAATCTGTAGAAGGTTGTAAATGCGTGAGGTTGTATTCGTGTACATCAACTGGGACCCGAGCGGTGTATGTAATGTGAGGGTTGTCAATCTTCATAGTAGCCGACGACCATTTTAAATTGGAAGTCATGACATTGGAGTTAACTTTCCAAGAAACCAAAATGGAATGCGATTCAGCTTGCTTCACAAAGATTTTCAGGACCTGGGTGCCATCCAGAAGCGTTCCGTTCACCCGGATTGTGGCGACCCTGGTGTCAGCTCCCTCTACGTTCTGAGCAACGCAGGTGTACCTCCCAGAGTCTTCAATCTGGATGTTGGAGATTTCCAAGGTGCCTTCGCTGCTCAGCTTGTATTTGTCAGAGAGGCTTTCAACAGTGACTTTATTTCCGAGGGGAGTGACCCAGTAAATTTCTGGCTCGGGTTCTGCCATGGCCCTACAGTCTAAGAACACCGTCATGCCAATGTCCAAGTTCAAGTGATTTGGAAAGGTCTCGTGAGAGATCATTGGAAGACACTGCTCGTTTGAATCCTGCGTTAGCACTTCTTTTACCTGTTGTCCTCTGTACTCTGGAGGCATGGCGCAGAACATGGAGAGAGGTTCCATGAAGCGGATGTTGGTTTTGTTTGAGTTGATCCAGTGAATGACGCAGTCGCACCGCAGGGGGTTGCTGTGGATGCTGATCTCACGCAGGTTTGGGAGGGACTCCACTGTTTTTTGGTAGACGGCGTTCAAGGCGTTGTTGTTCAGCATCAAACTCTCCAGGGCAGGGACGTTACGAAAGGCCAAACGATGGATGTAAGACAGCTTTGGGTTGTTGGTGGCTTCCAGCTTTGTAAGTTCAGGCAGGTTGTCCAGCGCGTACCTATCCATAGAAACAAGCTCTCCCATGTTATTGATTCCAAGCTCTTTCAATCTAAGCATGTTTCTAAAATCACCTTCTTGAATTTTATGAATTGGATTTTTGTTGAGATCCAGGAATTTTAGATTTGGAACTTTTTCAAGTGCAAGCTGAGGAACTTTTACCAACTTGTTGTCATAGAAGGAAAGACTTTCAAGACTGTCCAAGCCTACCAAGGCATTGCCAGGGATGTCTGTGAGATACATACCTGCCAAAACAAGACTCCTTAAATTGGAGAGAGGTTTGAAGTTCATATCTAGTATTCCAATCACCGGATTTTCTCCAATCATAAGAATCTCTAAGTTAGGAGTAGAATCAAACCAACGGCTGTCAATAACCTTCAATTTGTTGGAGTTGAGATGTAATCTTAAAAGATTCTTCAGGCCAGAGAATGCATTTGCAGAAATGCTGCTGATCTGATTATGATTTATATATAACTCCTGAAGATTGCAAAGGTCTTGCAAGCAGTAGTCAGTCATCTCCATGATCTGGTTCTCCTCCAGGTGCAAAGTAGTCAGCTGAGTAAGATTTGAGAGCCCCACGTCTTTGATGCTTGTGAAGTTATTTTGTGAAAAATCTAACTCTGTTAAATTAAATAGCAGTTGGAGTTCATCTGTGGTCTTTGCAATATTGTTGCTTTGTAACAGAAGGACTTGAGTGTCACTGGAAAGATTGCTGGGGATTTTTGTTAAGCGAAGGTCATTGCAGTCAACTGTTGTGGCTTCCCTGTATGTTGACTGTGGTGTAAACCATGGCCTGATTTCGCACACACAGAGCTGGGGACATTCATTACTCTGTACGGAAGACTCAGTTAATGAATTCGTTAGCAATTCTAGCACCACCTGGCAAACAGTTAAAACTAATCTAATCTTAGCCATGCTGGTCAGCTAGTGAATTCAGCTCCTCAGCCCCTTAAAATAACAACAGACCGAGAGCGTAATTTGTTGTCAGGCAGGAAATGTAAAGCTTAAAATTTGGTGTGAAAGGCTTGGACATCCAGAAAATGAAAGTTGATTTTGTAAGAGAAGACAATAAATGGTCTGAAGGCTCTCAGCTGCTCCTCTGTGTTCCAGGATCTTCTACAAATCCGTGCCTGAAGATAAAACAGATAAGGAAATGTTATGCTCATGTGTCATACACGGTTTGTATATTCTTTCTTTATCCTTTAAGGAAAAGGACCTGTGATGACAGCTGCAAGCATTTTAATACTCAGATCTCTTAAGAAAATTCATACTTGGTACAGTCAGATATGTATAGTTTGGAACTCTCCTCTATTTCAGATTTGCATGAGATCGTTCTTGAGTGACTACAAAAATTTATGCCATCATCTGAGAAGAAAACTTCCAGATCTCTTATTTTTATTATTCAAATCGGTCTGAATGGCTTAGGAAGTGTTGAAGGCCCAGGACGTGCTTTTGAGTACAGGCAGATACCAAATGGGCGCTCAGAACACCATCCCAAGTAGAATTCAGGCTGAGAGTGTTACTCCAATGACTTGTGCTTTGGCTGTAGAGAATTATGGCTTAGAAACATGTGGCTTTCTAAGTTCCAAACAAAATGCATAAGAACTTTGACAAAATTCATCCAAGTTAATCAAATCAGTTCCGGATAATAGTTTAGATTTGATCCAGCTAAGCACCAAACAATAACACCAAATATGATTAGATGCCTGCGCTGTCCTCCTTTCAGCTGTTTGTACTGCACTGTGTGTCACCTGCAATGTTCACCTGATTCCCATCACTGAGTAAACTGCAGGATTCACGTATGTTTGGACACTGAAGTCCTCATAAGGCACGTGTTGAAAGGAAACCTGATGGTGTCCATCAGGCCTCTCAGAACATGAGGTGATGCTGCACCTCGTGCGATAGTGATTGCAGCAAATTATGTTAACGACAAAAAAAGATGAATCGTCTGAAAACCCTCGAGTTGTGCTCGAAACAGACTAAGAAACACCGATGAACTGTAGTAGAAGAAATTGGGAAAAAGCTGCTTTATTTTGTTTTTCATTAGAATTTAGTGAAGCCTCAACCAAAGCCCACAAAAATATTTCTATATAAAATAGAAGAACTAAATACAACTTTAAAAATCGGCATCTAGACAGTGGTGACAGGAATGACATCTATATTCCATAATTATTGCAAAATCTGGTCAGCATATTCAGTAACTTATTTCAGATGATGATAAGCAGTACAAACCAAAGGGCATTTTTATTTTGGTGGGCTGTTATTTGTTCTGTGGTTGTATTTTGGATGAAGAGAACCAGGAACATTGGCCAGAAAGCATCTGACCCTGCTGAGTTAGATTTTCTGTCTGGTAGCAAAGATTTCAATTAGAGCTGAGAAGACTGTGCTGGAGGGGGAAAAACCAAATGCAGAACAAACATTCCTTCTCAAACAACTCTGAACTGATGAAAGAACTGAAGACTGACTGCATTAGAAAAAAATCCTAATGATGGTACTGTAGTTGTAAGAATATACACTGCTATAGGGAGATGAGGAAGGTGACATAAACTGAGTTATTCTGGCTTTTATAGAAGCGTCTCTCAGTAACAGTCCATTTGTAGCTGATGCAAAATAAGAGTTCTAGCAATACTGATGATGTCAGAAGCTTAATTAATTCCAGATTTTCCAGCATTTGTAGTATTTGTCATGTAATAATTCATGATCTAATTCAATAACGATCTCAGAGTTTTACTTAAGAAGCCTCGAGCTGCAGTTCTGTGTGGTCTGTTCCCTTGCAATATGGACATTTCTCTTCCAGCTCTGCAGTACTACTGGCTCGGAGTGAGGCAAAAAAGCAGCAGTACCAGGCAGCAATGTGCACCAAACCACATAGCTCTGCAAGAGGTAAATCTGCTCCACTCCTTCACAGCCTGTCCTGCAACTTGTTTCTAGGTGGATGTACAGAAAGATGTCCGTGCCTCATAAAGTCCCTACTGGTATGTTAGCACTGATTTAACTCTGATGTAGTTATAGGAATCATGTAATGTCTTAAAAATGAAACTGCCTGAAAAAGACTTCAAAGCTTCTATTAAAATGTGGGGGAGCACGTCAAGAGTACTAAAAAGAAATAATAATTCCATCATTTCTTTGTCAAATATTTATAGCATCATACACATTGCATTTGTTGTTCCTCCTTGCTAAGAAGGTATTTCTGGATTAATTGAATTGGCTTCTGGCATTTTTGATCACTCTAGGAATATGATTTTGCAAGTTAACAGTGGCACTTCCTCTCCTCTGGTTATTTGCTACTGCAAATGGAATTAGTTCTCTTCAACTGGAAAATGTTCTTTGGAAATGACCTCACGTTATTGTCTCCAATCTCCCCCAGCCCAGGGAAGCATGGATGAAGCCAGTAGTGAAAATCCATTGTAACGTAGGTTCTGATCAGCTCCACATGCCTAGCCAGTCTAATGCTGTGCTTTGTGAATGACATCCAGAGGCCACAGCACAGGGAAGGGCCAAGTGATGGACTTTTGCATTACCTGCTGCTTATGCTGTAAGACCACATCCATCGCTCTAGTAAAAACTAACAATGTGGCAGTTATCAGTGGAAAAAGTGTGCTATGGTATTCACTAAACAGTAATGGCTGTTTGTTCTGTGCCTTACGTGTGCTGTGGTGGATTTGTTGGTGGGTCAGCTGAAGGACACCCAAGCTTTGAGAACGAGCTCTCTGACACTACATGGTTCAAAATGACCATTGATGAAAAACTGCAGAGCCAAGCAGATAAACCAGGCGTGGGTCCTGGGAAAGAGGGAATCATCCCAACTCCCTGTGAACTCAGTGAGGCGGAATGAAGAAGCATCTGAGTGTCGTTATTTGAGTCTCGTTATTTGCTGATACCTCAGTGTTTTTGCCCAGTGAGAATCCTTCTGTGCCGAGTCACTGCGTTTGGGGTTGGTTTGTTCGAGACAAACACAGTTCCTCCATAGTAGCTGAATGCAGTAGGAGCCAGTGAGAATTCAGGGGGCTGGTTCAAAAGATTTCAGCTTTGGAAAGCCACGCAGTTAACGCTTGCTCCAGAAAAGGGGCACATAAAATCACTTTTTTCTGCAACTGATGCTTAATGGGGGCCATGTGATTGGTGGAGGTTGTTTTGAGTGCATGTAAGAAACTATATATGTTTAAAAAAATATCGTGTGGGGAAACTGCCAGGCCTGGGAAGTGCAGTGCAAGCTGTCCTGGCGAGGCTCAGCGTTGACTCCATACTTTAGACATCAGCTTTTAGCATTCTCTGCCTTCCTTTCTGTTTATAAAATTCATTTTTTAGTGCACCAAACCTCTACAATAGTCATTACAGGTGTGAACTTGCTATCAACAGAAATAATGCTTAATTTTATGGGAGATGCATAGAGGGAATTATTTCGCTAGGGGCTAAATAAATACATTTTCCATAGCACCTCTCAATTCCCAGAGCATTAAGAAACCACATTTCTGTCAGTAAGCAAATCCACAGCTGATGTCTGGGCTATCAGCATGCTCATATTTCTTGCAGACTGAAAATGTGAACATCATTCTTGCTTCTTCCCTCCCAGTAATGCAAGGAAGAGGATCCCTTGCTGTCTGGGTTGTGAAACTGCTTAACTTAGAGTATTTGTTTTACCAAGGGAAGATAATGGTAGGGAAGAAGGGGGTGGCATCTGGTTCTGGGGCAGGAGGGCCTTCATTGCAGTGCTCCTGCCCCAGAGGGGAGCTGTTGATTGTTCGGTTGTTGGGGTGATCCAAGCAAAAAGCAGGGTTAAATTCCCATCGCATTAACAGGAGAACATTAAGGAATAATCTCGAAAAAAACCCAACCCTATTCATTGCAGTGTTTGTAGTTAATTTGCCAACTACAAAAAATAGATGCTGAATGTGTTTTCTTGGCCAAAGGAAGATGAAGCATTGTCGCTTCAGTGGCAGTTGTGTTAATGGTCACTGTTAACAACTGCTGAAAAAAGAAACAAGATAGTTTGCACAGGGCTATTTGGGTACCTGTTTAGAAACAGCTATTCTTCTATTGCAGTAGAATAGAAAGCATCACCCTCTCCACAGTTAAGTAGTTCATTCTTGAAAAATTCCCTTTCTATTGCAAGTAGCATCAGCGCAGATTTTGGTTGGCAGCCATATATGCTAAACACGCCTAGGTAGGAGTCTGAGGGATCAGATACATAGAGAAAATCACCTCAGGCTAAGACAAGCAATTTATTTTGTGCTCGCTGCGAGCCAGAAGCACACGCTGATCTGCAGCACCTCCCCATTTCTCCACAGTGCCATTTTCATCCAGCAAGCCTAAGCAGTGCAGCTAGTCTTTTGGAAAATTGTCTGTTGTGCTAATGTTCTGTTAATGACTTGTGCAGCTTGCTTATTTCCCATCATCATCGTTTGTGAAACGACTCTTGTCGGAGCTCCCTGCAGCACCAGGGAAGCTCAGCGGCGGCACTGCGGGCTGTGGGGAAGGCCTGGGCCACGCAGCCAAGTTGTGGCAGCACGTGGGCACATCTGTCACAAGTGACGCCCATCTGAATGATCTGGAGAGCCTTCAGCTAAAGCACGGGGATTGAGAGAGCTGAGCGCGGGGCAGAGCGCATACAAAGCATGGCTGAGTCAGGGGCAGGAGGCACCCATGGGGCAGGGATGCTGCAACAGGCAGGTGCGCCTCGAGCCCTCTGTGAGAACAGCTGGCTCACAGAGGACATGGGCAATTCTAAGAAAAGGATGTTGAGCTGAGGTGTTTGCAGTTCCATATCCGTGCATTTTGTGTGGAGGAGAGCTGACTTATTGGCGCTGCGCTGCACTTCAACAATAACCTTCAATGGCGCGACGCGAGGGAGACATTCGTGTACGGCCACAGGCAGCGTGTGTGCAGCCAGTAACCTGCTAGGGAAGTAAGCACAGCACAGAACCTTCTCTGAAGTGTTGTGTTCCCATCATCGGGTCCGACTGCAGGCGAGAGTCGCAGTGACCCCGTGTACCTCCTAGAGAAAGCCTGCTCCTGGACCCAGAGGTGCAACTGACCTACATGGAGAGCTCGTTTCCGCCAAGAGTCACATTTAGAAGGGCAGTCCTGTTCAGAGGAATACTGAGGAATTGTGCCTGATAGCAAGCCTTTTCTATGGAAGTTTTTAAAGTTGTGGATGTCATCAGGAAATAAGATGCTGACGGGACTGCATGGGTAAAATACAGAAAGGTCAAGCTCGAATGGTGCAAGTCACTTGAAAAAGCACACCAGAATCTGAAAACGGGAGTTTGTTGTTAAAAGCAAAGACAGAAGAAAGGACTTACAGAATATGAAACAAAGGAACAAAAGCTTCAAAACGTGTTCTCAGGGATTTGTAATATTTACAGTTTGGGGTTTGTTTTTCTTTTCCATACAAGAAATGCGTTGCTTTTTAAACTGTATCTTTTTGTCTGCTCATACGTTCCAAAATAAAGTCAGTGTTTAATTTTAGGGAAAGCTCCAGGGAAGCGGGGAAAGCTGTGATGAGAAGGCGATTTGCTGTGTTTCAGAAGACAACCTCAGCATGTTTTATCAGTACTCTTTAGAAAAATACTAGCCTTATCTCCATGGAAGAAATGCAAAGAGCATCCTCTTCATAATTCTTGCACTTCACAAACAGCATATTACATCTGACGTTTAAAAATTGCAATTTATTGTGGGCCTATTCGTAAAGCTTGTGTCTGATGCAGTGTTTTTCACTAAAACATTGAAGTAATTTTGTGGGAGAGAGGAAAATCCTTTCCATTTATTTACTGATCTTTAGTACAGAGGGATATCTAGCACAGTACAGTTACTGTACATGGATGGCCCATCAAATCAACCTTCGAATTGCAACCCTGCTTGTCATCTGTTTGAAAATCTCTTGCAAATTACCATTAACAAGTCATATTAGAAACATCAGGAATAATAAGTGCTTTCAAACAGTGGGCTGTCAAATTACATAGTCTGTTTGTTCTTTAGGAAGGAAAAATTCATAAAAGCATTTAAAAGCCTTGAAAACCTGAAAGGCAAGACATGTTTGTTCAGTAGTAATATTCTTACACGAGAAACTCAACTTATTTTCTTAGCATGTTTATTTTCATAAGAAAATGTTTGTTTTCCTGAGAAAATAGATTAATCTTGAGAAAATACGGGCTGTTCTTTTGTGCTCATGACTGTAGTTTTCATCTCCTCCTACACAGGGTCTGGTCCTGTTCAGTACGAAGGCAGTAGTAAAGCTTTTATTTCATTCACTGGAGAAGAATCATGCGCCTTATTATTATCCTCATTCTATGTAATTACCAGATAAAATTATTTGAATAAATTGGCTTTCATGACAATCAACCAAATCATTTCTATCCTGGCTTAAAAGCCAATTTCATCTCCTTGTAGCTCTTCTGCACTGGAAGGCAGGACAAGTTCGTGGAGCAGGCAGAGCAGCGTGCCCCAGCCCGGCCTCACCTGCGCCCTGCGGAGCTGTGGGGCAGCTGCACAAAGATGGCACGTCCCCCTGCTAACCTGCATGCTTTGCTTTCCAGCACATCCAAGGTACCGTGGTTGATGAAGGACGAAACAGGGAGATTCATTCATTTCCAGCTGTACGGCTGTTGTGCGTTCATATCCTCCTGTATATTTTAAATGCAAGGGAGAATTTAAACCTAATTGGTTTTAGCTCGTAGAGCATCAAAAATTTACAGAGCATAGCTAATTTTGGGAGACCTGTTCCAACTATTTTTTGCATTTAGTGTATTTGCTGGCTAAAGCATGAAGGGAGACAAATATTACAGAGATATTACTGCATCTTCTAATTAAAGAACAGGCAGAATTCAATCTCGGCACATTCCAAATCTCTGTACCAAATGAAAGGATCTGAAGAACTTGTTACTCACGGGGGTATGTGCTTCCTGGATTTCATACTAGAATGACTCTGGCAATAGGAAGCAGAGACGGGAGGGTCCAAATCAAATTAAGAAAAATAATAAAATATTAATGGGAATTTTAAACAAGGAAATAGCTCTAGAAGAAGAATGGGGGGATTTAAAAGCCTAGGCTAGTTTTTGGATTAAATTTCTGATTTGTTTTCTTTTTTGCCTGCTCCAAGAAGCAAGACAGCTTTGCTAGTGGATGTTTTACAAATGCTAAAATGTGGAACGCATAAGAAATACTTTCAATAAGGAGAAATAGGGATGCCAGAACTGCACAGAACTTTCAGAGTGCAAGAGAAAAACCGCCGTCGTCTCTCCTTGCAGGCTGGCTTTCTGGCAATGCGATTCCTTTGCTTCCTACACAGTTCTAGATCAAACTCCAGTTAATGAGTCACCGAGGATCCCCGTGGTCGGGAAAGACCCCAGCACGTAAGTAGTTGTTACTACAGTAAAAGATGCCAGACAATCTTTTCCTGAAATGGCAGCCAGTAGATATTCACTCATTTCAGCTTTTATTTACGTGCGTGTTATGAAAAGGGCAGACAGTGGTGCTGGCTTTAGGACGTTAGCAACACTTAATAATAACACATATGTAGGTGTGCACACGTGTACAGGGAATAAGCAAATCACATACAGCTCCACCTTTATCTTCAGACAAGATGAAAAGAGGTGCTTTTTTCCTGTTGATCCCTGTTGCTACTTTAGCAATTGTTTCCTGCAGCTGTACTACGTCTGTAGTTTTCAATTATGGGTGATTAAGTATGGATCTATACTTTATTATTAGCTACATCTATATCTACTCCAATTATATGTGTAGTGTTCGTACACAGACACCAGCTGCTAGAATAAAATAGACCTTTATTGATTTTTTTCCTGGAGTTATACACTTGCAAGATCAAATTTTCTATTTCTGAGCTATATTTACATGTAAATGTTAATAAAACCATATATCCACTCGCCTGATAGAGACCCCTTATTGTTCACTCAAGACTAGCAATAACAACATAATAGATTTATCATGGGAGGCACTGAGAGATCTAATAGAAAGGCTGTTAGCACGGAGGCAAAGATCTGGAACTCAGCCAAGCTGAGATGGGATAGAAGTAATTCCATTAAATGGCCATAGATTTGTTTTTGGTAGTCGTCTGAAGAAAGGTTTTGTTCCCATCCATGAAAAAAGTTATTTTCTCCCTAGTCAAATGGCTGTATTAAATGACCCTCCCCTGCCACTCCTGGCAAGTTTTCTGGGCTTCTGAATGGGTTTCTACACCAAGTTCCCATTTGTCTGAGAGCCTTCTGCTTCTATTCACCACCGATAACATCAGCCACCCTGTAATGAGAAAATAAACATTGTATGGAGTGCGTGTGTTCTATCATTTCACTCCAAAACTGATATAGCAAGTTTTGCTTGAAATGCAGAGCAGGTCATCTACCACATCACCTGAGAACAGAGAGAACGTTAATAGCCTACATTCACCCATTTCTTTTTGTCTGAAGCGCCACTAAATCTTGAGCCTTGGTTCTATATGGAAGCTTTGTTCCATATTTTCCAATCTTGCTTTGAGAAGTTCAGGACGTGGAGATATATATATATATATATGTATGTATGTATGTAGAAAAAATAGGTATATGTTTAAGAATAGACCTACGAATCGTTCCGTTAGCTCCAGTTCTTAGTCTTGTCATTGCCAACTCAGCAGCTCCTCCACAGATAGGTTCATTTCAGAGTGCTTGCAGAAGTGCTGCACGTGGCAGAAAACAAGCTATTTTAAGTTAACAAAACTCTACAGATAAATCTTTACCTAATTAAGGTGATTTATCCAGGCACGGTCACGTTTAAACTGTCTGTACTCGACTTGTCTCACTCACCAGCTAACTCAGAACATCCATCTGCTTTTGCTCAGTGCCTGGTGCTGCTGTGAGCTGCCTGTAGAGACCTGCTCTTGCAGCTTAGCTCTTGTTCACCTATGGGTCAAATAAGTTAGCTCTGTAACACATCTACACTTCAGTGCAGTGCCTATTGTGAGCAGTGGATCTCTGTCAATATTTACTGTTTCTGTTAAGAGCGACAGATCGTTTGTAATTTAAGAATTGAGCAAGGCCAATCAGTAGCTCATCTGCATCCCAGTAATGATATGCAGCACATTAGCAAGGTATGCATTTATTGGGCATTTTTGGACTCGCTTAATAGAATAAATGAAATGATGTATGAGAAAAATAGGATGTGGAGGATTAATTGAAACAAGGACAAACATTTCCAAATCACAAAAAAAAGGTAATTCAAGCTGTGACTGATACTTTACATATATGTGTGTGTGCATATGCATATAGAAAAGTCAGTCTACCAAATTTTGGACTAACTTAGGAACTGTCCCAAATAACATCTGTGTGTTTATTAGTAGTTACTTAATCTTTGATTCTTGATGTTGTGGGTCAACCCATGAAAATCACAGAGCCCTATAGCACATGGTCCAGGCAGACAGGAGAACCCTGCTGCCATCACAGTGGATGTGCTGAAAGCACAAGTGTGCTGTGTCCCTCTAGTTGTGCTGCTCTGGTCGTGAGTCACACAGAGCTTAATATGAATCCAATTGTAAGTGAACTGCAAAGACTGCATTTTGCTTAATGACCATCAAGTTACGTTGACTGCACAGAAGTAGTTGTGAATGAAATACAAAAAGAATCAATGATGAGAATACGATGAACCAGGTTCCAGTAAAAAGAGGAAAAGGCAAAGGACCGTTTCCCTTGAACTGGAGCATCCCCATGCCTTGCCCCATGGATGCCTTCCCCCATCTACCAATGTCATCTTTAAAACTTGACTCTGGCAGGATAACCTCTGGTGAAACATCCCACCAAGAGACAAAGCTGCAGGCTTCTGAGGTGGAGGTCTGCATTAACCACATCATCAGCAGGGGAGGTCCCCCAGGTTTGGGAGGTAGTGAACAAAGGCCTTGGTGCTGGGTGGAAAAGGCAGGTGTTTCTGGAAGGTAAGACTGCACACCTGCACGAGGCCAAAGGGGCACAACAGGCACAGACCTCCGGGGGAGGCTCAGCTTCAAAAAGGTCAGATTCCTGCTCTAATCAAAGCTGACTGATGCATGAATGCTACGTTCACGGCTGCTGCTTAAATTAAATACCTGGAAATGAGATGCTGACAATCTCTAGAATTCCTAAACAAAACCTGTAAGTCATCTATCTTGCCTACAGTGTTAAACAGACCACTGCAGTTTGTGAAGTGGCCGAGGAAAATACTGCCCTGCATTACCACCAAGGACCAGAGGTCAGCGCTTCGGGGCAGAGAGTTATACAGCAAGAGCATCGTACCAAATAAAGTAGGAGAGAGCTGTTTCTCTGTGGCACTTTTATAAATCTGTGCATTCTCAATACAGCATCCTGTTAAGTGTTTCAGGACTTATTTACAACTGCTTTTCCCTTATCTTTCTTTAAGTATATATATTTATAAAAAACAACAAACAGGTATCTGCTCCCTTTTGTATGCTTGATCTTTAGAAATTGTGCTCCAAGTAAAAATCCGTTCCCATTCTATTGGCAATTCGGTCAGCTGGAAGGTCAAGAAGATGCTAGCTTGTACCACCAATCAAATTAAAATCTTACAGTTTAGAAGGTGAAGTTGTGAAAGCATTCAATGTTTTATAGTGGAATTGAAGAGCAGACACTAATTCTCTTCTCATTGATGCCAAAGACATCTGCTTTCTTCATGAGGAAGAGAACTAGGCCAACTCAAAATAGGCCAATCCAGTATTTTCCTTCAGTGCCACACATAAAAATGAAAGATGACGTCTAAATTGCAAAACAAAATTCAAATAAAGTTGCAAGGCTTCAGGAAGCAATAAGAGAAGGTAACTTGAAGTACCTTAGTCCAGGTATCCCTCAGAATGGCATGGAGGCATGCCCTACTGGCCTCGTGAAGCCAATTAGTGGAGGATTAATCAATCAGCTGCAGGAAGAGAGTCTAGAAAAGCAGGCTCATCACATGCATGCTCAGTAGGCTGTTTCTTAGCACAGTAGCCCTCTGATTTCTCTTTTCAGAATTCAGGCACTCTGGTTTAGGGAAGCAGGATTACCACGCGCTGACAAAAGCAGCTCTAAGCCAGGTAGGAATCAAAAACGTGAGCCTATCTTCTCACAGCAAGGCACACGCCAAGGGTAGAGCTGCAGATGAGCACTTTGTTCCTGAAGTGAACTGCTGTGGATCTGTGCAGGTGCACGTGGTGGTGGTGGCACCCAGCCTCGCTCCCTGTGCCCCATGCTGGCATCACCGCCTCCAGCACAGCTGGGAGAAGGTAAGGCTGTGCACTCAGAAATGAGGTTCTGGGTTGTTTTAGGAAAAAAAAGTATTTTGTATTTACCACAGCATTTAAGGCCCGATCCTGCTAATTACTTAACTGGAGCTCAGGATTTAGGATTTGCTGCGGGAGCTCTGTGCATCCTGCAGGACGGGGCTTCTCACCGCATGAAGATGTGAGCGCGGCTCTGGGCTCACTGCAAATTACCACTGTATAAACAGACAGCAGCTCAATGGATTTATGTGCTGCCCAAAAGTTTGCATGGATTTTCTGCAGTTCTCTGTCTACAAAATGTCTGCCAGAAAAAAAAAAAAATCTTGAGCTTGGGAGGATGAAGTATCACACGTGTATTGTTCATGTAGCTATGGTAACCCACAAATGCCACCAGTGTTTCCATTTCATACACAAATGAGGGGACAGCTGTGGAGACCACATGTCTGCCAATGGAATAATATATGTGAACTAGGATGGCTTGGCCAGAAAATTACAACTCATTTATATTAATCAGGGCTTCAAAGAACGGCCATCTCTGCAGAGATGAAGTCCACAGTAAAAGGGAGTGATTTTGTTTCTCAAAGTGTTTGGCTCTTCAGTAAACATCTTCACCATCCTCCTACTTGCCGATTTAAAAGTGGAAGTGTTGTGAGCAGGCAGTGCCCTTCTGTAAATCTCACTGCACTTTTTCCCTTGGTGTGGTCTTTTTTTGCTGTCTGCCCTTAGTCTGGCCCGGCCCAAAGCCCACCTGGGAAAGCAGCAGTTCCCAAGCAGGCAGAAATTAGCTCAGAACTGGAACCTGGCCACCAAAGTGAGACAACAAAAACAACTTCTTTTTGTTGTTGTTGTTTTACTCATTGATAACACTAACAGAAATAAAAGCTTCAGAACAAATACTGTTTTTGTTTTTTTAAGTTGTAAAATATGAACTCTGACCTTGTATCATCCCCACCACTACAATCAACAATAAGAAAGACAACCCAACAAACTCAACAGTACAAATCAACAGCCTTTTCAGCCAACTACTGAGCTGCAGTACAGGCAGGGCTGTGATGCAAGGCAGTCTGAGTGCCCCTCGGATCCCCAAGCAGCAGCTGGGGGCTGCCAGCAGCAGCAGCAGAACAGCACACACTGCTCAGCAAAAGTTTCCCTGGCTGCTGCAGTGCCACGCTGCTGTAGCACCTCGAACAAAGGCTGCTGCATCGGGGCTGCCACTGCAGGCAGCCAGCACTGCTCCACGCTCCGCGCGGTGATGGTGTGAGCCTTCCTGAGTGCTCATGTAAAGGACTGCATTTTCTGTGTGATAAGGACTGATATGCGTCTATGTGTGTTTTTAAAGCAGAGCTTCCTCGCTTTCAGCTGCGTTCCAGCCCTGTTAAACCAACGGGAGCAGAAGTTTCTCGTTGCAGCCTGTTGGGATGCTCTCAGCATGGACTTACATTAATTACTAACAAACAAAAGAGGCGACAATGGTTTTTCACAGTTGACGTTACAATGCCCTTATCCTTTTGTAATCTACACAACCTGATACAAAACCCTACTACTTTCAACAGTCAGCAATATTCTTCAGGTCTGTTCTAGCTAAATGGAAGATACTTTATAGCATCCCACCAGCTGACCTTTTGAAGTCCCAACTGCCTTCTGCACTGGGTGTTTCTATAAGGGCTACTTGAAGTTTCACTCCGATAACTGCACACCTCAACCCAGCCCTTCAGACACCTATGGGGGCCGACGTTCAGCTTCGGACATTCGAAGCATCTACAAGATCACCCGGTGTGTACGTCAATCCTTCCCAATGAAAAGTTTATTGCCTCGTTCCGAGATGCGGCTTTGTTTACAGCGCAGCTTTAAGTCTGCGAGGGAAGAACCGAGGGGTTCACAGAGCAGTTTCGTTCGAGAGATTCTAACGGGAACCACGGAGCTCCTTCGGGACAAACCCACAGCGGCTCCCGCGCTATTTGGGGCGGATTCCGGAGCGGATTTCCCCCGTTACCCAGCGGGAAGCGCTCCCCGAAGCGGCACCAGCAGCAGCCCGGGGCCACCCGCCGCGCTCTCCCCGCAACACCGCGCCCGACCCGCAGCCCTGCGGCAGCGCGGCACCGCTACGCGCGATTTTCAGCCCCGCGAGCGGCGTGCGAGCGGGCAGCGGGGGGCCGATAAAAGGGGCGGAACCCCCCCACAGCGGCACCGATCGGCACGGCGAGGAGCGCGCGACGCCGGAGGAACCCGGCCTCGGACCGGAGGCGGCCCCGCGCACACCGCCTTTATCCCGCGCTCCATTGTTCCACCGCGGGCTCCTCGTCCGCTCCCATCGCCCCGCGTGAATGCACGAGGCCAGACAGCTGCCGGGACGCGCTGCCATTCGCATGCAAATCAGAGGGGGCGCGGACGCGCGCCGCAAACTTCAGCCCGGGGCGCGCACCCCAGACAGGGAAATAATAACGGCCGTACGCCACGGCAGGGCCGCTGTGCCCGACCGCGGGCGGCAAACTTTCCCCCCTCACCGGGCATCCCCGCGGCGATCCCCACCGCGCCCCCCGCCCCTCCCAGCGGCACTTACCGGCGCCCGGGGGGGCGCTGTCCGCGCGGCCGCTCCTCTCCCGCACGCAGCGGCGGCGCCGACATCCGCGGCGGAGAGAAGGCGGAGGGACCGAAGGGAGGAGCGCAGAGCCGCGCCGCCGCTCGTTCGCTCGCTCTGTGCCGCCGCCGGCGCGCACCTGGGTAGGCGCTGGCGGTCAGCTGACGGGCTGCACTCTGATTGGCTCCCCCGCCGCGGCGGCACCATCTGCGCGGGGCGGGGCGATAAGAGGCCACGCCCTCTCGCCTCGCTCTTCCCCACGTAGCCCCGCCCCCCGGCGCGCTGGGAGCGTGAGAAGCTTTCGGGCGTCCTTGCGCGCACCTGTAGGTTCTCTCCTTGCGCGCACCTTGCGCCCCTGAGACGCTGCAGTCGCGCTGCTTGTCCGGGAGGAGAGGGATCCCATCCACGGCCACCCCCGGGAGGTGCGAGGGTAGAGCCGGGCTCTGCTCAGCGCGGCCCGCAAGCACGGCGCGGTGCCCGGGAGCTGCTCCTGCCCCCGGCCCTGGGCGCACGTAGGGGTGCGGGACCACGTGCTGCTCGTTAACTCCTCATTAGGCTTCAGAGTGAACAGCTGCTGACAGGAGGGTGCGAGGCGCGGGTTCCTCCTCCCGGTGCTGCTGGCAGTTATTTGTGCGTTCGGGAAGCTGCCGGCGCGTTGCGAGGGAAGGGATCCTGCCGTTCCGCAGCGCTGTGCCCTCGGGCGGTGCGTGCTGCCAGCAGGGCTGCCGGCCGGCTCCCACCTGCCGCGTGACTCCGGCTTTCAGGTGCTTTATGAACTTCAGCACAAGCGATGCGAAGGACGAAGGCGCAGAGCCCAAGTGGTGCGTGCTGTAAAGCGCTGCCGATAAAGGCTGCGTTTGGTTTCTGCCCTCTAAAGGGAAGGGAGCTTTCATCTGTGGAGCAGTTGTTTGCAGGGGCTGCAGTTGCACCCGAGTCCGTTTCCAATTGAGGTGATTGGAGATGGAGGAGATCGTCCTGCTGGTGAGTAAAGTGGTGCTGCTCACTGAAACCACGCTGCGTGCCTATGGCTGTGTAAATAAGAGACTGGTGTATAAGCTTGGAGAAAATAGGATGCTACATCAACCCAAAGAGCATCCCGAGCCTGAAAGTTGAGGGTTTCAGCTGTCCATTTCCATTGGGAGCTGGGTAAGGTCAGTTCCCATTCACTCCCAATTTCTGGTTTGTCTCTTTTTTTGGTTATCCCAGTTTGGAACTACTGACTTGTATTTTTCCCTTGGCTGTGGCAGGACAGAGGAGAACAATTCTGAGTTCCTGGGGCTCGATGCCAGAGGCCGGCTGGCACCATAGCAGCGCTGTACATGTCAGCTGTTCTTTGTACCCTTAAATCATTATTTCCCATTTCTTTTTATTGTGCATTTAACCAGCCAGTGTGAAGGCTGTGGGGAAGGGGTGCTGTATTGCCTCCTTCCTCGTGTGCTTTATTAACATAAGATAATGGGAGTTCTGCACACCTCAGCAGCCTTAATGCTTTTATTGACAAAAACCCCAACTAAGCAAGTAGGTGGCCATTAGGTGGGATGATTTTTTTTTCCCCCTCTATCCTTATATGAGGGCTGTGCAGTCCTATAGTGGTGTTTGTGGCATGCTCCCCTCAGTGCCTCTCCTGGCGTGCTGCTGGGATGTGATGCCTTTCCAGGAAATGACCCCAAAATGAGCCATGTGATTTATGGTGAGGAAGGCTTAAAATGAGGTAACAGGAAGTCAAATGTGTAACATTGGTTGATGGCTGGGATTTGGTCTTGAGGCAGTAATTTCTTGTTGTTTTTTTTTTTTTTTTCCCTGAAAGTCCAAAAGGTCATTTGGATAACATTAAAAGTGAAGTTTTTCATATTCAAGGAAATTGAATTTTCAGAAGGAACTCATAAATGCCATCCGAAGAGCTATGCTGCCTTCCACAATGGCTGTGCTCCCATCAGTCCGGATGTTGCTGTTCCATCTCTCATTTATTACTGATGTAGAGGTAATGTCACAGCTGATGCTTCCTCTGTGTTGTGGATGGCTTCGGTTCTTTTCTGTTTCAGGGCAGGGAATTTATTTTCCCTCTCTCCGTGCAGTTGCTCCATCCTTTCACACAGCATTAGCTGCATGCCATCCTCACGCACCGTTTTACAGAATTCACTTTTGAATCCTCATGGCCTCGGTGCTGCCCTGTTCCTCGCGGTCTCTTAACATGTGTGAGTGTTTCACGTGTATTGGCAGTGTCACCAACAGTGAGGCTTGTCTGAGCATTCAGAGTGCTCGTGATCTGCTCTGTGTTCACACCGCTAGAGGAGAGCTGCAGGTTTGTAGCAGAGGACAAGTGTTTTCCATATTTGATTTTCCTAAGCAGCTCAGCACTTGTCTGTCATTGCAGGCGATGCTGTCTGTGTTCCAGGCTTCTGCTGTTTGAAATTACACACCCAACAGGCCCCGCTCTCTGCCAAGATCCATGAGGAACTTGTGAAACACTCACAAATAAACTTTTACACCACAGCTTGCATGTTGGAGCTGCCAAGCAAGCAGGAATGGATGCAGCAGCCCTGTCTTGGTGCGGCTCCCTGCTGGGAACAGCATCACCTGCAAAAATGGATAAGTTTGTAGGGATAACGACTGGCAGCTTGTAGGTTTCTTAAAATTCAAGCATATCAACATGATACTGTACTAAAAATATGTTGGCTTTGTTTTTTTTTTTATAGAAAAGTTTGATTGCTTCTGATTGCATAGAAAAACTTGAAGGGCATAAATGTGATGAACCTCAAATCTATAAGGCAAACAATGAAGATGTGAAATGCAGCAACCACTAAAAGTTTGCAATCTGATGTCTGCATTTCTAGGCAGTTTTCACAACGTTAAGGTAACAGGAATGAGAATAGTGCTAAGATGGGAATTGAAAAAAGAATTTGCTCCTGCAGACTGCAAATGCATGCTTCTGTGTGGTGGAGGAGGTGGAAGTGGCTGTTCTCCCAGCCTGGCACTCCGTGCAGTGGTGACAACTCCAGGAGCAGCTGCTGCAGTGCTGCTGGGACTGAGGGGAGGCATTTCTCTCTGATGTCACCTCCCATGAGCTGCTGGAGGCAAAACCCCACAGATGCTTTCCAGCCAGCTGTGCTCAGGCAGTGCTGGGTGCTCCTCCCAATCCAGCTCACGCGGCCTTGAGAAGAGCACAGGAAAACATGAGGTTTCCCACCACGTGGACTGCACAACGTCCTTCTTGACCACCTCCTTGTTCTCATCTTCTCTCCTTCCATGCCCTCTGGCTCCATACCCTTCTTCCTTCACTCTCTTCACATCAGCTTCACTCTTCAGCACTTCTCCT